ACGAGAGGTGGAGATATTATTTTCCTGGAAGACATGTGTGCAGAGTTTCATATGATGTGTAGGTTGTTTTTCTGTTAAAAAGACATTGCCAATAATATGAAGCGCAATAGCCTTGGACTTAAAAAAAGATCTGAGAATCCTGACCAAGCAGGGGAGGCGAACATGTTTCGAACTTATTGTAGATGTGAGTCACTCCAGTTCCCTTCGCCTTGCCGAATCATTGTTTGATATCAAGGCTTCTTGATGTCATTTATTAGGAAATAAATATCATAGGCTCGAATTAAACAAATTCTCGAGAAGAAAAATAATTTAAAGGTAGAGTAAGATCATTGCTGGTGGTCAGGTATACTTTGCCACATCCAACTTACAGGTTTTTTGTTGTTTTTTCTTTTGTATTTTTTAACACAAAGTGCCTGCTTTTAGGAACGCTTCGGTTTTACCAGTGGCCGAAATAATAAAACCGAAACCGCAAAAAATCGAAACGAAGCCGACTTTATAAATATAGCGGTAACTGTAACCGAACCGTTATTGTTTTCGGTTTGAGTCCCAGCTCCTGACCTTATTATCCAATCAAAATTAGATTCAGTTCAGTAAAAAAATAATAATAATAATGCAATAACACTTATTTGTGTTTGCGCACAGAGTATTGGATGGTGTAAAACAAGTTCAGAAAAATGTTTGCCCTCCGCACGCACCGACAGTTTCTAACAACGAAACTTTGGACATGAATGCGAAAATCCCGAAATGTCTCAAGTGTTAGGACTACGCAACCCTCTGTGGGCGTGACTATGTTCAAACTTCTTGCTTCGTGATTCGCTCCTCGGTTTGCTTATTTTCGAATGCTGAAATCTCATTGGCTACAAAACGATAATAAGATGTGTCGGGACTCGCAACGACCTGCATTTCTTAAAGATTAACTCCGTTAGATTTTCTAAGTTTCAGGGTTACTACTGTTTCTAGTGAGGTGTAGTGTCCCTGAATCACGAGGTGTCTTCTTTTATGCTTTTTTTTAGCTTTGTAGACATCTTTTATCAAGCTTGTGCTTCGGGGGTCTATGGCGAACCCGAAATTGCCGGCTCGAGAATGATGGCAACCCTTGGCATCAGCTGCAGGGCCATCGTCTCACGCCAAGTTCTGTCCGCGGCACCGCAAAGCGCACGACTGACCTAGTCGCAAGAGCAGTTCTGATCAGCCAGTTATGAAGCGAAAAATATGGACTCTAACAAAAAATTTAATAAACATTTACCATATTTACTCGAGTAATAGCCGCACTGTTTATGAAGAAAACATGGGGGTTCGCTTTTCGGCGGAGCACGCAGATTGCCACTCACCGCGATCGACGGCATGTTTCCAGCTGTTTACAGGACAGAGATAACGTCTTCGTGCGAAGATACCGTCTGTGAAAGCTGCATTTGTATTGAGAATCGTGTTCTCGATCTGGTTCTTCGCTACGCTATTTATGCACAACGTAATGATTGGCTGTATATGTGTTCTGTGGGAAAGTAGACGCAAGGGTTGCGTTCATAAATAGTGCGGCTATTCCTCGAGTAAATACGGTACCCGATGTTTCGGGACAACTTCGGTCCCTTGTTCAGGGGTGAGTGACGAATAAATAAATAAATAAGTAAATAAAAGAACACGCGTCGCTTAAATGCACATACGGATGTAGGGAGTTTTGCTGACGTCACGCAGTCCCAGACGTAGCTGCTGGGCAGGGAGCCCGAAGAAGCAGCCGGCCGCACAAGTATTTGTTCAGAGTGTTATAATAAAAACCGCCAGGAAAGCAAGAACTGTGAAGTTATCTGACTGTTTTCTACACGTGTTAAGCTTGATTAATTCATGAATGAATTAAGTAACAGGAACCACAGTGTACCTGCTCTCTTATTTTATTAAAAATGACAGCACGTCGGCGGGGCGGTGTCATTTAAGTTCTTGTTATCACACCAGGTCAGGGCCCAAAGTAGTCATATAGACAAATCAAATCTAAAGATGTCACTGGCAGAACTGTGAGTTAAGACAAAAACATAAAGCACGAGGTCTCTCCGCTTTCAAATATTTTAACCTATCTCTCCTCGTCTTACGTTGGCCCGTATGGGCTGGCTGCCCCCCCCCCCCCCTCTCTCTCTCTCTCTACACACACACACACACAGACACACACACGCACACACACACACACACACACACCTAAGTGAGCTTGAAACCACTGATCTAAAAGAACACGAGGTCCTCTGTATCTTTGGTTTGAGCAAAGTGGTTAAGAGGCCTGAGCTAGGTCTCTGAGAATTTTGAACTATGTTATGCAGGTAAGCTTTTATGTTCTGGTAAACACAGGTGAAAAATCTGAAGAGCAATTCCATTAGATCAGCATATATCTATCAGCGAGGTTCCCATATTTTTTCGTTCCCAAACTGACTTCAATAATAGAGAGTTTAAGTAGATCGTGATTTCAGGCCATGGTAATCGCAGCGGGAGCTCGCGCTGCCACTTCGATGCATGCTCTGAAGCGCGCGCTCTAGTGGTAGCGGGCCTTTGAAAAACGATCTACTAAAACTCTCTAATATTTGCATATCATTGACAGAAGGGCAATTATACTTTCATTTTCTGGTTGGCACTCAAATGCTCTGCAATGATCCAGTAAATATACAATGAGCCGGTAGATCTGAAATTATGTGTCGTTTTTAGCCGGTGACAAACGTAAGATCGATAGACCCTTTCGGAAAGTCAGTCTACCCACCCTATGCACAGCCAAACAAGACTCTCTAATGGCGGCACAACACAGCTTGTCCACGCCATAAAAAGCGAACGTCTTTGAAAGCACAGAAAGGGGAAACGATGTTGGTCCATTTCCGTCACCTTAGATTCACGAGATCGGGGGTGCGTGATTTAGCAGAGCATGACCTCCTATCACCACCATTAAGAGCTGCAACATTGTAGTTTTTTGGACTGCCACAAGGTGGCTCTGACCTTTGAAAAGGGTCCATTGGCCGATAGTTTCGAACACAGTAGCGGGGACAATTCTCCACTCTAAATCACGACCGCGCGGATTAACACTGCGAGGTCGGCGAAAACACGAAAACGTTTTTAACGGTAGGTCGTCCTGCATAATTTTTTTTGTTAACTGCGTCGTCAGTTGCTTTGAATATTGTAATAGACCCTTTTTAAAAGTCAGAGCCATCTTGTGGCAGCCCCAAAAGCTCCAATAGGCTCGTTCGATTTGCCTGCACCTTGTGCACGGGCCCAAGAAAGTGTAGGGTGGTGTACTTCCGGTCGTATCTCAATACACATAGCAGAAGTATACGGCTGTCATGATTTGGAAAAAGAAAAGAAAGAAAGAGAAGGGAAGAAAAAGAAGAGCGGTATCGCGGGTGCCAAGGGATTCGAAGTTGGACTAAGAGCCGCGACGGTTGGCTGCTCGAACGGTGCGCTACCCGGCTCCGTCCCGGCGTCAGTGTGGTCGACGTAACCGGCTTTGTCCCGGCCCCAACGCGCTGAGAATCAACGCGCCTGGCTCCGTTTAGGCTGCAGGGAAGCTGAACTTCAACGTAACCGGCTTCGTCCCGGCTTCAACACGGTGACCAGGGGGGCTATGTTGCGCTTTTTGGACTCCCAGGAGACTTGGAAGAGGGAAGTGACGTCAACGACACAGCAAACGCAGATTGGATGTTGACAGAAGAAAACGAAATCAACACCCAATCTGCGTTTGCTGTGTCGTTGACGTCACTTCCCTCTCCCTAGTCTCCTGGGAGTCCAAAAAGCGCAACATAGCACCCCTGCAGCGCAACCGGCTCCGTCCCGGGATCAAGGCACCCGGACCCGAGATAACCAGCCCCCTCCCGACATCGCGGCACGCTCTACTTCACCAACGATCAAGGGGTGATCAATCAAGGGCACCAGCGACCGGAGCTACGACCTCAGGGGTGACTATACTGCCTACCCGACGTGCTTGGACGGTCGAATGGTTTCTTTTCTTTTGCCTTTCTAACGTTACTTTTTTTTTCTTTTTACTTCCTGACTTAAGTATATATATATGTTTTTTTCCTCGTGCATTTGTCTCAGTCTCCCGATCCTTTCTCTCACCACCCCGGACGAATCTCACAACGGCCCTACACTTTTCTGCACCGGTGCAAGAAGTGCAGGTAAATCAAACGAGGCTAATACTGCCGCTCTGACGGTGGTGGTAAGAGATTATGCCCGCCTAATCAAGCTCCCTCGAATTCGGGGATCGAAGGTGACGTAAAAGGACCAACCTCTTTTTTGCTTTCTGCTTCGTGCTTTTGGAAAATTTCACTTTTTCTGCTGTGGAGAGGCTGTGTAGTGCGGTCATTAGAGCGTCGGGTTTGGCTCTGCACAGCGTGAGAAGGCTGCCTTTCGGAAAGGGTCCATTGACGGGATAAGAAGGGCAGAAAAGTCTCCGCCTCCAGTGCAAGCTGCCTCTTTCAATAACACATCGACGTCTCTTACACTTCGAGCATATAAACCTGCGGCCAATGCACGATGGAAGTCAACGAGCACGTGCTGGAGGCTAGGCACCCGAAAGAGATCTCCTGAGTTCTTTTGTTGCCGTTGTTGTTCTTTTTAAGGAGATCATGCCCGCTCTTATTGTCCTTTGTCGTTCTTTGGCTGCACGTGCATGCACGCTCACGAGACGCCGAAGTCTTATCAAAGGAAGGAAGCTCCCGCTGGTGGCGGGACAGCTAAAATTCATATCTGTCGTTTTCATTTTGTCAGTAGCTACCGACGCTTTGCAGCAGCTGTGCATGGACGCCGCCATAACTGACCTTCAATTTTTGTTTCCTCTTATTCCGTTTATTTCACTTCATCATTACCATAGTAGGCCAGGTTATTGCCATATCAGATTTTACTGTGTCCTTCTCTAAAGCATCGGCCTTTGTAGAGGATCGTCAACTACCGTTTCAGTTGCTCGGCATCTCGGTAAGACAAGAGAAGGTCAGCAATGGCGGCTGTAATTTGGCGCGTGTGTAAAGCGTCTATAGTTCACGTTACGCGAAACGTCTCGTCGTCGTCTTTGCCACTGGCGCTGTCATCGACCTGCAATGACAAAACTTTCGCAAGGTGGCGTCCCTAATGCAGTCCCCTTGACGTCCATACTTGTCAAGCCTACTCACGTCGCCCAGAAGCGTGTACTGGTCCGTAGGCTCAAAGTAGCGCACCGTTCCTTCGAGCAAAGCCCCGCTAGGCCTAACCCTCAAAGTGATCAAGTAGTCGATCGGAGCAGCCGTCCGTCTGCCGAGCTGTATCCTCCGTCCAATCACGTCGTTGTGGTGGGTCACAAAACGCAGCACTTTCTCGTTTGGCTGCGACTGTCTGGCATCGAACACTTTGTCCAGCAGCAGCACGTCGCACCGGGCTGCGCTGGGCGTGAGCCTAGCGTTGATGGCGCCTATCAAGGCATGGGAAGCGTTGAGCACTCCGGGATCGGTCGTGGCGACCACAGTTCTGTTCTGGCACGTGCACCAATGAGGGAAGATCGAGGCGTCCTCACAAGTCCGATTCAGTGGGACCTCCTGGAAGAGGCTCAAGCCGTGCATCGTCTGATGCCCTTCCTCTGGAGACTTGGACGCAAGCTGCTGAAGAGTGGCGTGCACATCGAACGGAGTGGTCAGCCGTCGACTGTTGATACGCAGCGCCCGTGCTTGGGCGGGATGTTGTTCCAAAAAAGACTCTGGGAAGGCCAGGAACATGATGGGCATGCGCTCTTCTAGCTTGCCCACGTACGTGGTGCGGATCTTGCCAAACCGTAGACCATGGTCGCTAAAGAAGACGAGCAGGGTATTTCGAAGCGCACCGGAAAAATGTAGTTTCCGTAAGAGCCGTAGCGACGGCGCGTCGGCGTAACCGGCGTTGTTTAGGTGGTCGTGTGTCAGCCGAGCCGCGAACGCGAACCCGAAGTGCGGCTTGGACTGAAAAGCCTCTGCGAAGTCGGCGAGATAGTCAAAGACGACGTCCACCTCCATCTTGGATCCCCAGCAATGGCTTCCGGACCTTGATCGCATGGAGGACCGTTCAGTAGCTACGCAGAGGGGTCGAAGGTAGTAGTCCGACGGGGGCCTCGCGAAGCCGCGTTTGAGATAGTTGAACGTGGCGATGTCTGGAGCGTCTTCGGCAAACAGAGTCCGGTGTCCACGCTGTGCAAACTCCTTCCAGATGAAGTCGAGACCGTCGAAAAAGAAGTTTTTCATGGTCTCGTTCCAGTAGTACTCCAGAAAGTGTCCGGTCAGCAGCGCCATCAAGTTGGGAAAAGTGTTGTCGCCGATCTTGGTATAGCCATGTAACTGCACAGCCCCCAAGACGTCCTTGAGAAACGCTTTCGTTTTCGGTAAGTGGCGTTCAAAATTGAGGTTGGAGATTGAGTCTAGTCCCACCATGAGTATATTCAGCTTAGGCGTTGACGTCGACAAGGACGCTTCTTCGAATCGACGCAGCCTTCGCTCGGTCCGCTGCGACACCGGAATCAGGGGTATGTGCTGCAGTAGGATCTCACGATGCGCGTGGAGGCAATGTACGATGACGTGGTGTTCTCCCAAAGGCACCCCGAACTGAAAGGGCCGCTGGGATCCCAACTCGAACCGACTGTCCGTCCATCGTCCCTTCACTTTCATCACCCGTCTCACCGGTTGGAAGCTGCAGTTGATTTGGTCGCGTGAGAGCCTGTACTGGCGCCACAGTATACCCTCGTCGACTTGCAGCACCGCGTTGGGGCGCACGCGCAAAAAGGACGTTTTCCCAGGACACACGTAGTCGGATACCTTATGGTAGAGTCGAATGACGCTCGGGTCGAAAGGGTCCCACGCTGGTATCTGGCAGGCCGGTGTCCGAATCAGGTAGCCGCTGCCTTCGAGATCGTCCTCCAGTGGCAGGGAAGACCTCCACCACCTCAGCCACGGCAGCACGGTGGCGTAGCGGGACAGGAACAGGAAACAGAAACCCCCAACCACGGTGACCAGAGCGAAGGTTCGTCGCATCACGTGAAGACCTGCACGTATACGGGTACAAAAGATCAGTGACTTCCAGAGTGAGGCCTAACAAATGTAGTAGTTATCGCATCTCGAGAACCTCGAGCCCTGAGGCCTCCCTGCTCTTTTTTCTAATGGTTCAGTACTAGTTTTTCACATATTTTTGCCAGGAACTCGAAAGAAACGACTGTGAGCTTTCTTAGACAGAAAAAGGCAACTGTATCGTGATCGGGGATAAAGTCTTAATGGCAGCACAGCCTTGCCGTGCGTCCGGAAACTTTGCAAAAAATTTTCTAGTCGCTCTTGAACTATCCTGCGTTTTGGCCGCGGTATTGGCTGGGGTATAAGCTCGACTAATTGGCCCCTGGTGAACACATCCGGCTCATTTCCTCTGCCTGTTAGTTTCGCGGGCGTCCGAAGGGTTACATCGAAGCCGGATGTTATTCATTCTTGGGAAAAGTCGAGCGCGGGTATTCTAGCTGACTAGCGTCCAGTTCACTCGCCCAGCTCTGTAGGTTTGCAGTTTATCACATTATACGCACAGTTTGTATTTGCGCGTAACATGATTATCGGCACCAGTATAGATTGAAACGCGAGTCACCAGAGCCGTATATGTAGAGGGTTTGGTCAATGGGAGGCGCGGGCAGAGCCAGGGCGTGAGGTAGACTCGGAAAGAGGGCTTGGCATGCTCTTTTGACCAACCAGAAGCCGAAAAGAATCCCCTAGCGGTGGTAGCGAGAAACATTTCTGATCAAAGGTCTATGTTCGTATATGGTTTTAATAAGCGCGTAAGAGTGAAGTGTAGTAACTCTTTGTGGTTGAAAATAGGGTGCACGTGTTGTTTTGATCATGATCATCCAGAAAGGTGTAAGAAACGAATGCGCCGCTCAACTTTGTTTTGCGCGGACAGAATGTGACCGCTCGGACGGCCGATTCCCGGCTCTCGGCGTTTGGCGTACGGATTATGTCGATCGTTTCGCTAGTCGCACTCTTCCACAATCATTTTGGATGAGCCTGATTGAAACATCACGTGTACCGTATTTTCAGTCATCGAGAGTTACTCCAATGCAGTTATCAGGTTTGTTCCTCGCGACCACCGCCAGGGTATTATTTCCGGCTTCTGGTTAGTCACATTCGAGTTTCTGAAGACGCCCTGGAACACGCCCAGCTCGCTTTCGGCCAATGGCGCCTCCTCATTTGTCTCCTATACTTCCCAACGAATGGCCAAACTCTCTTCATATACGGCTCTGCGAGTCACCGTGAAATCCATGCTTCGAGTGCCGCATAGTAATGAGTTCAAGGATGATGATGATGATTCACTTTATTTTCAAAAAGGTGGCACCATGGCCTCATTGGGGGAAGGGGAACATAGGTAGGAAAAGTTTACATTCGGCGGTGCACTCCTGTCGAGCGCGCGAACTCCCATATACACCTTTTTTGTTTAGCCTCGCAACCAGCCACGTTGTTCCCATATCCGGTATGCGTTCCAAAAAAAAGCAAAAAATTTCAACCCGGGGAAAGAAAAAAAAAATTATAGAAAGGACAAAACAAGAAGGAATGACGGTCGCAGTTAAAATGTTAACATGTTCTACTGGCGAGGCGAGAGGAAAGCGATGTTTTTACGCATACCGGAAGTTCCCGAATTGAAGATGGCGGCGCCCAATGTAGAAAAGGTGTATAGACGGGGAGCGTCTCCCTGGCCCGTGCCTCGTTAACCGGTGTGATCCAGGCCTCTAAAGTAAAGGTTCCTAGACGGGCATTACAAACGAGGCGTTAGCGACATCCACCAGCAACTCTTTGCTAATCTTTTAATTCGTTCTAAATTTCTTTTCGTGACTTTTTAACAAGATATTGTTATGTTGGATGTGATACTGCTCCTTTGAACACATATAGACCAAAAAATGAGCGCCGAAATTTCGTTGTATAGACCGTTTTATCGTGGGTAGCGCCGTTTTGAGAGCGAGAGAAAAAGGGAAAGGGCTACCGGCGCTTTCCCTCTCTCTGGGTGTGTAGAAAGAGTGAAAGTCCCGGATGAGAGGCTTCGCCGGTGTTGGGTGTCTCCAGTGCCGGCACTTCGCTCGCGCTTTCTTCTCTGTTTTAAACTCGCAAACCTAATTAGAGCCACGGGCTTCGATGGCGACCGTCCCCCAGTCATCTGGACACCATTGCTCGGTGATAGGGGGCACGAATAACGACAGAAAGTGTCGAATACTGTCCGAGGACTTATGCAGCTTGCATGGAATCCGGAGAGGCGATTGCGGCTGCAGTGTTTTTAAGCTCCATCGCTTTCCGCATGACTGGAACTGATGAACCATTTACAAATTTTTGCTGGCAATGGACCTATTTCAACGTAGCCGTGTTTAGTAATCAACAAGCGATACACGACACGGAAAACTCAATTAGCTTTTGTAAACACCCGGAGCTCCACCGATCGTTTTGCTGCGCTGCTTTTATCCTGCGTGTTTGTGTTCTTATATTCCTTTGTGAATAAATAACGAAGACGTTCTAGATGTACTTATATCGAACCGCAAAAAGACTCAAAGCAGCCACGAATTATTTTACAATTTGATGCAACATTTTGAGTATTAACTTCCAATTTCTATCGCTGACACGTTCGCTCCGCTGTTCCCCCCGTCGCCGCACGGGCGGACGCCATGACTCGAACAAAGAAACGTGGACACTGGGCTCGAAAACGGAGTTAACACTAAACACTTACACACAGACAGGACAGAACATACACAGAGCTGACTATCAACTATTTAATACTTTTTCTTCCTCCACCTCCTCTCCTTCTTAGTCCCTTCGAGCATTCCACGATTGCGAGATGAGATGCACTTTTTAGGATATTTTTTAAAAAGCAAAGATAATAATGAGTGCATATAAAAAATAAATCATAGACGACTTTTGGTCTGAAGTTGGACTTGAAAAAAAAGTAGTTGAAGATGTTTTCAAAACAAAACTGAGTGTTGATGTGACGTCTGTCGAAAGGAGTCACCGTCTTGGAAGGCTACCTAGCAGAAAGCCGAGGCCAGTCATCTTAAGCTTTGGAAGTAATAACGAAAAACAAAACGTACTTAGGAATGCCAATAAGCTTAAAGGGACTCGTATTTTTGTTAATGATGACTTTTAAAAAAATTTAAGAGTTATCAGAGGAAAGCTATGGGAGAGTGCAGCTGCAAATATACGAAATGGAGACAAGGTGTTCTTATCGTACGACAAGCTAAAAATCAATGGAGTAACGTACGGATGGGACTCGGATACTGACCAGAGAGTTCAACTTTTTGCAGCCAATGTATCGCCCAATGTACCGCATCCTGAACAATGACGTGAACCTAATTCACAGGAAACAAAAAAACCTTCTACTGATCAACCTTAATGCCCGAAGTATTGTAAATAAATCGCTTCAGCTCGAACACATCTTAATGGATCATGACCCCAGTATAGTGGCTATCACCGAAACCTGGCTTAATTCATCAGTGTTAGACAATGAGATAGTTCCCCCTGGTGATAATATTTTTCGAAAGGACAGAGGAAGTAGAGGAGGAGGTGTGGCCCTAATAGTTCAATCGTCCCTGATCGCTTCTGAAATAGAAGGTGCTCCTGGTATTGAAAATGTGTGGTGTAGGATCAAGTTAAAAAACAGTGAATTAAGAGTAGGTGTAGTGTATCGCCCTCCACAAATGCCTCTTGGATGTATTAGGGAAATAAATGAGTTTCTTTTTATGTTAAAAGTAAGTTTAAAGAAAGTTATTTTGATGGGAGACTTCAACCTCGGTGGGATAGACTGGGCTACATTACGAACTGGGGACAGGTGAAGTGTCGTGCTCCGAAGAATTTTTGGATTTGGCCTTCTCTCACAACTTGACACAGGTTGTCAAAGAGCATACTAGGGTACAGGGGGAATCACGATCCCTAATATATTTAATATTTGTTAGTGAGACACTCTCCCGTCACACATACGATTGTAAGACTCACCCGGGAATTTCTGATCGCAAAATGGTACACTTCGAAATATCGTTGGAAGCTGCACTTAAGAAAACGGAAATATCTCCATACCGAAGCTTTAAGGAAGCTGATGACGAATCAATTATTGATCAACTAGGCTTTAACTACGATACATTTGAGAACCTTGCTAGGAACCCCCTCATCGGAGTGAACGAGCTATGGCTTAATTTTAAAAGGACTGTACTAGAATGCATTCATAAGTTCGTTCCAATGCGCGTTAAGAAGCGGAATCCAAATAGTCCTTGGATTACAAGGGATATAATCTACCACAAAAGACCACAAAAGACTCTTAACCAGGTGTAGAACAAAAGCGCGTGGGGAAAGGGATGGGTTGCTACAGGCTAAAATACGGACGCTAAGTACGGAACTTAAAGCAAAAATAAAGGCATCAAAATTCTCCTTCTTTAATGTTAAAATGCTAAACTTCATAAAGTATTCACCAAGGAGGTTTTGGCGACAAGTAACATCAAGTAAAAAAGGAGTTACTAAGGTGATAGTAGGAGATAGGGCTATTGAAAACAAGAAACAAATGGCAAATTGTTTTAATAAATATTTCGTCAGCGTTTTTTTTTACTGATAATCATGTCCTGCCGAAGTTTTCTTTTTTTGAAAATGTTCCCCCAATGAATGACGTAGAAATATTAGAAGAGTGTATTTTTTCTTTGCTACTTGGTATCGATTTAAAAAAAAGCTGCTGGTCCTGATAATATTCCTAACGAATTTTTATATCGTTACAGTGAATGGTGTTCGAAGTATCTTAGCCTCGTCTTCAAGAGATCGTTGTCAGATGGAACTGTTCCAGATGACTGGAAAATCGCCAAAATAATACCTATAGATAAGAAAGGTAACGCAAGCTCTGTTACAAACTATAGACCCATTTCGTTAACATCTAGTTGTTGTAAATTGCTAGAACGCATAATTTCAAAGCATATAAGAACGTTTTTAGATGTTTATCAAGTACTTGATAGCAAGCAACACGGGTTTCGAAAAGGTTTCTCTGCCAC